GAGAGAATGAGAGACAGAGAGCATGAGAGGGAGGAGGGTCAGAGGGAGAAGCAGACTCCCTGCCGAGCAGGGAGCCCGATGTGGGACTCGATCCCGGGACTCCAGGATCATGACCTGAGCCGAAGGCAGTCGCTTAACCAACTGAGCCACCCAGGCACCCTGCTTCATGATTTCTTAATCTCGTTGTTAAGTGATGAAGAGCATGGACATTGACACTGGGAAGCTGCACTGCAAGCAGACACATTCTTCTTCTCTGAGACTCTGTGTCCTCGTCCATCAGACGAGCACAATAGCTCCTCATTGTAGTGTCCGGAGGACTAGGTGGGAGAAGGCACGGAGGGCCTCGCACACTGTCGGTGCTACTGTTATGATGATCTTTTTTTTTTTTTTTTAAGATTTTATTCATTTGAGAGAGACAGAGAGAGCACAAGCAGGGGCAGAGGCAGGGGCAGGGGCAGAGGGAGAGGCAGGGGCAAGGGGAGAGGGAGAGGGAGGGAGAAGCAGACACCCCCTGAGCAGGGAGCCTGACCTGGGACTCATCCCAGGACCTGGAGTTCATGACGTGAACCGAAGGCAGACACTCAACCACCTGAGCCACCCAGGCGTCCTTGTTTGATGATCTTCAGACAGCTTTGCAATGGGCATGACCCCAGGGAAGGAAGGGGCCCAGGCAGTGGCAAGGAGTTTTGATAAATAGGAAGGATAGCCGCGAGGCAACTTGATGGCAGCTCTGCAGGGTTTGCTCTTGGTCTGAGGTGGCCTCCAGCTTCTGAGGCTCTAAGCCTCATGTGACATAAACACTGGAGCTCTCCTGTGATCTGTAGGACTGAGCCTAAGGTACTTGCCAGTCTCACCTGAACGGCTTCTCCCTTTCCACATATACCTCTTCTCCGGGCTTTCAGAACCATTCACCATTCCTGAACACACCTGTGCTCTTCCTTTTTCCTGGGCTGCCTTCCTCCTTCCAGTCTAACTACTTGTGCCCCTCACACAGCATACACCTCACGGTTGGGAGGCTGGGGAGATGGTGAAAAGAGCCTAGACTCAAGTGGGTTTGAATCCAGGCTCTGTGGCTTATCCAAATAGCCATGGGAAACCAACTTAACCTTTCAGAATCTTTTTTTTTTTTTTTTTTCCACTTGTGGAATGGACCATTAAGATTAAATGTGAACTCCTGAAAGGTACCTAGGCTGGTGCTTGGCGCTTAGTAGAAGCTCAATAAATATGTTTAACAATAGCAAGACATTTTCTTTTAAATATTCCAACACCTGGGCGCCTGGGTGGCTCAGATGGTTAAGCGTCTGCCTTCGGCTCAGGTCATGATCTCAGGGTCCTGGGATCGAGTCCCGCATCGGGCTCCCTGCTCCTTGGAGCCTGCTTCTTCCTCTGCCTCTCTCTCTCTCTCTCTCTGTCTCTCATGAATAAATAAATAAAATCTTTTAAAAAAATAAAAATAAAAAAATAAATATTCCAACACGTATGCCATTGTTGGGTAATTATGTTTATAACTTTCCCCGATGCTCTACTGTGCTCTGCGAGGGCAGGGCAATGTCTAATCCAGTTAGGGCCTTGGGATCTGTCTGCCCCATGTAGGAACTAAATATAACTTGTAGATTATATAAATGACACTTGAAATTCAGACAATGGAGTGATGCCTTCAAACTGTGGTGGTCAGGAAAGGATTTGTGTTTACCTTAAAATTTGAACTGAGCCTTGAAAATGGGTAGGTTTTAAATTCATTCACTTGGAAGAATGTTTATTTAGGAGCTACTATGAATAAGTAATCAGAGAGGGGAAAGTACTCCAGGCAGAGAAGGTGGCATGGGCAAAGGGCAGGCTGGGTGTGGGTGACCACGCGTAGGCCAGTTGGGTATCTGCTGAGGAGCCTAGAGGAATGAGGTAGGGCTGGATTATGCTGAGCCTCACAGCCTGAGCAAGGAGTCTGGATTCTGCTTCTTGAATGATTCTTTTGTTTTTATTTATTTTTATTATTATTTTTTTTAGAGAGAGAGCAAGCAAGCAGGGGAGGGGCAGAAGGAGAGAGAGAATCTTAAGCAGGCTCCATGCTCAGCGTGGAGCCTGACACGGGGTTCAGTCCCACAACCCTGAGATCATGACTTGAGCCGAAATCAAGAATCACATGCTTAACTGACTGAGCTACCCAAGTGCCCCTTGAGTGATTCTTTTAGAACCTGACATGATGACGGCAAGATCTAAGGCAGTGAGTGGGAGAGCCTGGGGGCAGGAGGACTCTGGAACACACAAAAACAATGAGGGGATAGAAATGCAAGGTCAAAAGATCTTGTAGAACAAGATGCCAGTTTGAAGGGATAGCCCCTGTTCCAGCCAACCCTCAGAATGGTTTGGCTATATTCAGGTTTTATCAGCTTTACCAGCAGCAAAGGTATCCTCTCGGAGGGCGTCTTTGTTCCCACACAATATTGACTCCATCCTTCTCCCAGCTTGTAGAACTCTCAGGTAAGCAAGTCAAGTGTGAAAGACCTTGACCTCCAGCTCAGAGTCCTGCCCTATAGGACAAAGTATCATTCATGGTGCCTGGGGGCTGGGGGTAGTATTGAGCACCAGTGGGCCAAATGAACTTTGAGATAAGCAGATTCATTCCTTATTATCATAAATGAGAAATAAGAATTACTCACTGGGCCTGGGGTCACTCTTTTCCACATAATGCTCGGTGGAATGCACTTCATTAATTTCCCACATGTGAAATCCCTTGCTGGTTAAGACCAAATGGTAACTGTGACAATGGGAAAGTAAAGTTAGCAAATACATATCTTAGGGTCCCGCTTATCCTTCTGTTTTTGACACTAATTCTTTAAAATGAATACACTTGAGTGTTTGAATTTCCACAGGTCTTGCTTTTCCAGTGAGGAATCCAGGTGGCCTTAAGTGTATTATCTGTAGCAAAGACATAGGATCTGCTCTAGGTGAAACGTTTCTGAAGAAAGATGAAATTGAATTGCTTTTACCTCCTCCTTGCTGGAGACATCTGGCAATACCAGCTGGGACATGATAGAGTTCCTCTGATGCTGTTGGAAGAAATTGCGTGTCTGAGGCTCTGAGGCTGGCCTTGAAGGAAGGCGGAGGCCTGGTCAGGGCCGATGGCTGTCGGCGATGCTTGGCCTGTCCACGTGCTGACTTAATATCGCATGGTCTCCACCAATGGTGTTTTTCTGACAGAAGTCTGGTGTTCTGTCTGTCTCACTCATTACACAGATGCACACCAGTGGTGAAGGAACATTCTCCGTGAGGGCGCGACTTGCCGATACGCCTGGCCAGGCTTCCTGGGAATGTTTCCTTCTCCTTGCTGAAGTTCCAGAGGTTTTATAGACCAGCAAGGAGTTCGGTGCAAAGTGAATGCCATTCAGGTTGAATGTTACCCTGGGCTCCCACCTTCTCTTCCCCTCAAGCCTTGATGAAACAGAAATAATTTCTTTATGGTACCTCCTAGTTACACAAATAGCCGTCCACAGTCACAATTACCAGGGTTAAACATTATTCACCTGCTGTCTTGCTAAGTTATTGCTGTGTAGTTTTTCACGGCTCAGGTGTTGGTTACATAAGTGCCTTTTGAAGAGCGACTAAATGTCTTCTTTGTGGTCTGGTACTTACTGCACCTTTGGTTCCCGAGTATTAGGTAAGATAGTGCCGGGTCCATCGTGACTAGCGCTTGTAGGGGACCGTGTTTGAAGAATAATCCTGCTGCATCCTAGACAGAAGACAGTCTCCGGGGCCCCTTCTTTCCTGATGAAGTCATTGCACCTGGCTATCTGTCGCGGATGATAGCACCCTTCTGTTTCTCTGCCTCCAAACAGAACGCAGTTTCTCCTATACCCTTTCTTTAATCTTTTGGAAATTCAGTGATGGATGCTGCCTGGTAGGTGAGCCTGTTCACTTGTTCCTCCCTGGCTACCATGGTCCGTACCTGGAGCAGCTTTCCGTATAGAAGGTCATGCTTCCCTCATTCATCTCCACCCTTGTCTGTTCCTTGGTGCCGGCCCTGCTTACCTTGTGCGCACACCTGTTAGAGCTTGTCTGCTTCCGGCGGTGGCAGCCCCTGGCCCACTTAGTCTGTACGTTTTGTAAAAGCTCCCTGGAAACTTACACTTCCTTGATATATGGTATTTGGTTCTATTTTTGTAATTCCCTGGATTTCAGACTTACATGCTACTTCTGGGGTCCGAGAAATCGGAGTTCGTTACGTGAGTTTTATTTCATGAGGAACAAAATCTTCAGGACTGTCTTTCTGAGGACGAACCCTCAGCTTTGGGCTGCCCTGCAGCAGTAGATGCAGAATCACGGGCCTGATGATCAAGGTGCCGCTTATCCTCAGCCCATCCCTTCTTGTCTGCTTCAGAGAGAAAGCCCGGAACGCTGCCGGAGTGTTCTCACAGAAAAGGGGTTCGCGTGGCATCGGGGCTCCCACCGGACAGGGAGGACGATGTGCGTGGCTCGCCTTCTGTGCCCCAGATACTGTGCTTAGATGCTTTACATGGTCTAACTTAGGTCCCCTTCACTGTGTCCATATGCATTTCCTATTCCAGAGGTATCTCTGTCTTCAGCTCAAAATTAACGATGTCACCCATGTTCTCACAGCTAGAAAGTGGTGACGCTGGGGTTAAAAACTGGGTTATCGGGCACCTGGGTGGCTCAGTTGGTTAAGCGACTGCCTTCGGCTCAGGTCATGATCCTGGAGTCCCTGGATCGAGTCCCGCATCGGGCTCCCTGCTCGGCGGGGAGCCTGCTTCTCCCTCTGACCCTCCCCCCTCTCATGCTTTCTCTAGCTCATTCTCTCTCTCAAATAAATAAATAAAATCTTTAAAAAAAAAAAAAAAAAAAAAAACCTGGGTTATCCCTAAAACTCTTGTTCTTACTGATGTCCTTTACCCAGACTTGAATGATGTGGGAAGAAGGAAATAAAGATACCAATTCCACTTCACATTAGCTACATACGTAGACATTTCTTTCAGACTTTTTTTGACTAGAAATTACTCTGTTCTACAGATCTTTTAAGATGACTTTTCCTGTGTCGACCCCTTAATTTTTGAAACAACTCCTTCCGCCCCTTCCTCCTTCTCCCCATTCATCCTGCTCAGCCAGTGCCTGACACTCTTCATGTCTCCAGCCCTACCCTCGAGCTCCTCTTACCCACCAACTCACGTTGGTCTAACATTCCAGCTCTGCGCTCATTGTAAGTATAGCAATCCTCATCTCCGAGCCTTCTGTTTTTTAAACATGTCAAACCTCGACTTAGGATAAAAGTTACCACTTTCTCCTTCTAATCTTGATGGACACTGTGGTGAGAAAAAGCCACAAGAAGCCATCCTGACTGGTCTGCTATCAGTTAATGAGATCGGCCTATCTATCTAATGGGAAAAGAAAAATTAACCTAAGTTCTTTCTTAGAAAATTGTATTCAATTTGTTGACTCACTGTAGTGAAACAATGCCGTGGCTATTGGAAGTCCTTTTTGGCCAGTGGTTATGAACTGCCAGCCCCGGGGCTCAATTCTGTTGAGTTTACACAGAGTTTCTTAAATACTTGAAATAGCTGTCAGCTTTTTACAGTGGGGACATCTTGCATAAATCTGGGTTTCCAGAGTCTCTTGAGAAATCGGCAGATCCGGCGTTCTGGGTTCCTGTCCCCTCCCAGCAGCTGTCTTGGTGCCATACAGCAGAAACTCCACAGGCCTCTCCTGACCAGCCCCAGCGATTTGTCAGTTTGAGCCCACCTCAAACTGACATTTTGGTGCATAGCCTCAGAGTTCCCGATTTGTCTTACTCTGCAGGAGAGATTGGAGCTGAGGTAAGTGACCTCCTTTTCCTCTTTTTCTCATTTTTTATGTAACTTCTGCCCTAGTGGAAATATTCCATCCCATCGAGGTGAAATCCATTTCCTGTGCTCCCCCTATCCTCCCTTGATACGCCAACATGCTGCTCATTTTCTTCAGTCAGAATAAAACCATCAGCCCTGCTTTCCCCTCAAGCTGCTATCCCAGTTCTCTCCGTCATCTGTTTCGAGATGTGTCTATATTCATTGCCTCTGTTCCCGTTCATTATCTTCTCAGGCCCTTCTCCGTCCTCGACTCCCATGTTCTAAGCTTAGTGACATGTTCGGTTTTCATTCGCTTTACCTCTTAACGTCATTTTGCATTGTTAATTACAATCTTGAAATGCTTCCTTTAGTTTTTTTTTTTTTTTAAAAGATTTTATTTATTTGACAGAGACACAGCGAGAGAGGGAACACAAGCAGGGGGAGTGGGAGAGGGAGAAGCAGGCTCTCCACAGAGCGGGAAGCCCGATGTGGGGCTCGATCCCAGGACCCTGGGATCACGACCTGAGCCGAAGGCAGATACTTAACGACTGAGCCACCCAGGCGCCCCAGAATTTTATTTATTTATTTATTTATTTATTTATTTATTTATTTATTTATTTATTAAAGATTTTATTTTTATTTATTTGACAGAGAGAGAGAGAGACAGCTAGAGAGGGAACACAAGCAGGGGGAGTGGGAGACGGAGAAGCAGGCTCCTGGCCGAGCAGGGAGCCCGATGCGGGGCTTGATCCCAGGACCTGGGATCATGACCTGAGCTGGAGGCAGACGCTTAACGACTGAGCCACCGAGGCGCCCCTCTTCTTTTAGTTTTGACTACGCTGTAAAATCTTGGCCTTCTGATTATTCCTTCTCTGCCTCCTCTTCTGGTTGCCTGGATATAGGATTACCCCAGGCCTTATCCTGGGCCCTCGTCCCTCCCCGTTCCTACTCGGGTGCCTCCCCCAGTCCCTTGTCCCTGAGCTCCAGGCCCACACTCCCATCTACCTGCAGGATGTTCTGCAAGTCCTCTGATTTAAGCCCATCTCAAACTTTGCCGTCACGTTTGTCACGATGACATCATCTTTTAATGGTATCACTTTTCTGTTAGTCACCAAGGCATGAGCTTGGTTTTGTCTGACGCCTTCCCTTGGCAACAGCCAGTCTGAGTGGAAGGTGCATTCGTCTCCCCGCTGCTATAATCAGAATACCACAGACTGGGCGGTGGAATGTGTGTGGGACTAAGCAGCAGCAATTTATTTCTTCCCAGTTCTAGAGGCTGGAAGTCCAAGATTAAGATGCCGGCAGGGTTGGTTTCTTCTGAGGCTTCTCTCCTTGGCTTGCGGATGGCCACCTTCTTGCTGTGTGCTCACATGGCCTTTCTCTGGGTGCACGCACTCCTGGTGTCTCGTCATCATCTTACAAGGATTCCTGGATTACTTCCCCTCCCTGTGACCTTATTTAACCTTCATTATCTCTTTGTAAAGCCCAATTTCCAAATAGAGTCACCTTGAGGGTTAAGACTTCAACATAGGAATTTTGGGAGGGACCCTTCAGTCCACACAGAAGGGGAGTCTAGGGCTTAAAGGAGGAGAGCTATCAGAGCTGGGCGGCAGGAAAAACTGAGCTAAGGTCATAAATCCAAGTAACCATGGCCTTTATGGAGCAGCAGAGAGAATGGGAAGATGACCGCAGAAGGAGAGTATCCTCGTAGCTCAGAACGGAGGGGAGCCTAAAGCACAGCCGAGTTCAGACTGAGCGCTGGCTTCAGGTGACCGTACTGCGCATGGGCCGCTCAGTGCGGCGCAGGCCCCTCCCCGCGGCGCAGGCCCCTCCCCCCGGCGCAGGCCCCTCCCCGCGGCGCAGGCCCCTCCCCGCGGCAAGCTGCCTGGGGGCGAGGCCAGCAGAGGCTGGGAGGGGGACAGGGGCCCCTGACAGCGGCCGTACCTCCTGCTCAGTGGTCACAGTGAGTGTAAGTAAGTGTTTTGGACATCTGTGTTATGGAAACTGCCCCGTCTGTGGCCACCTCCGCATGGAGAAATCGGAGGGAACGGGATCGAAGAGTCGATAGCATCTGTCCTCGCGGTAGTTGCTCGCCACTGGCCCCTCGCCCCTGTTCTCACAGCCACCGTCCTAGGGCAGGGCCTTACGGCTTGTGAGGAGGGTTATGACGGCAGCCTCTCACCTGGCCTTCCCACGGGGCATCTTTGCTCCGGTTCATCCCACCTGCGATCCTTGGAGCCCAGCTCCGATCCTGTCATCCCTCTGCTTGTAAGCGTCGAGCTCCTTGGGCTGGCCTTTGCAGCCTGATGTGTCACCATGACAGAAGGACATGTTGGCTGTCCCTCAGTCACGCTGAGTTCTTAACTCTTCTTTGACCATACCCCAGAACATTCCCACTTCCACGCCTGATGTTTACATTATTCTCTGTTTAGAATGTTCTCTTCCTACTTCCATACCTGCTGAAATCCTACCTATCTGTTGTCAAGGTCTACATCAAGTGCTACCTAATCCATGGAGCTTTCCTGAGCCTGTCCCCTGTTGTAGGTCTTATGGCATTTATACTCTGTTCATAGTGGGAGCTATTTTTGTATTAAAACTTTTCCTTCACCCCTATTCAACTAGGCCTTTGAGAATAGAGCTGGTTTTTAACTTTATCCCATCGACCACTTAAGAGTGTTTTGCATTTAAGTGTGAGGCAAACATTGGTGGCATGGACTAATGAAATCAGGTTTGGGGTCCTAGGTCTTTTTGATGTTCAGGAGAAAGTTGAAGGACCTTTGTTCATGATCCTAAATAGACTTCACCCACTCCAATATGCTAACTGAAGAAACTAAGGAGGGGAAGAGGTTGGTAGGGAGCAAGAAACTGTGAGGTAGAGTGGGCAAGCACCACTCTTCCTCAGGGGCTCACGGGATGACTGGTAGCATCACAAGATGACTGGTAGGGCCTCAGACAAGAATGGAACTTGAGACTCCACCTACAGGGTGATGGGGGAGGAGGCGTGGCCTCTGCTTTTAAGATGGTTAGATTTAGGGGCCGGGGAGTGGCCCCACACGCTTAATTCATAGAACAAAGAACACATGGGAACTGTTCAAGGTTGTTTTCATCTGCTTGATTCTGTTTGTCTGGCTCGGACCTGGGACTTGCAGAGGGAGGCACAAGGCCCAGACTAAAGGTGGCCCCACATTCCTATACTGTTGGCCAGGGCATTGGCTATAGTCAGAGCTGGATCCCAAAGGCCGCAGAGTGTGGCAAGGGCCTCCCCTAACCTAGCTGCCCCCTTGGTTTCTCATGTTGAGTAAAGGTGAGCTTAAGGGGGCTGTTAATAGTTCACCCAACCTTGACATTCTCTCTGACCCATGAAGGTGTTATCCCAAGACTGAGGAGAGGAAACAGGAGTTAGAAGCAGCAAGTGGTTTTAAGCACTAGTTTCTTAAGCTAGTGGGGATGGTTTTCAAAATGTGCATGTTCAGGTTTCAAGCTGGGAGATTGAGTCAGTAGATCTGAGGTGAGGCGTAAGCATCTATTTTTATTTTTTATTAGAGAGAGACGCAGCGAGAGAGGGAACACAAACGGGGAGTGAGAGAGGGAGAAGCAGGCTTCCCGCTGAGCAGGGAGCCTGATGCGGGGTTTGATCCCAGGACCCCGGGGGATCATGACCTGAGCCAAAGGCAGACGCCTAATGACTGAGCCACCCAGGCGCCCCGATTTTTACAAATCTCTATAGGTAATTCTGGGGGCCGGTGGGGGCCGAAAAATCAAATCTGTAAGGTGATGGTGAGGGTTCAGTGAGGTTCTGTATCAGGCCTGACACGTAGTGAGTTTTCAAATGGCAGCGTGATTTATTATTGCTGGCGTCACCTGAAGGTCTCGATTTCTGCTGTTTCAGTTAAGTATATCTGTTCACTCAGATGAAACCAGATGGCGCCTTTGGGCATAAGTGGGCAACTCCCAGGATTGAGGAGATGAATGAAAATCCTACAATTCTTGCTTTATTTACTTTTCTAGGAGCTGTCCTTTCTTTTCCCTCAGAATTTGATCTCTCCTGACTGTGTTTTATCTGATCTTTAGTAACTTCAGGATTCTTTTACCAAATAATACCTGGAAGCTCACAGGTGTTAGACAAACTCTGTTTTGGAATAGGGGATGTTTCAGTGACTTTTGTATTGAGAAATGCTTTGTGTTTTTATTGGGCTCCCACTGACCTTCAGACTTTCAAATATTTTTAGATCATGGATTTTTGATGAGCTGAATGGCTTTAAGATCCCTTCACTCCCACCCCTGTTTCCTGTACTGGGTAGGCTTATGAGCATTCGTGCCTATGATAGTTTTTTTGTTTTGTTTTGTTTTTTTAAGTAGGCTCCATGCCCAGTGTGGAGCCCAGCACAGGGCTTGAACTCATGACCCTGAGATCAAGACCTGAGCTGGGATCAAGAATCAGATGCTCAACCGACTGAGCCACCCCGGCACCCCTTTATGATAGTTTTTAATTAGAAATTTCCACATATGCGGGGCGCCTGAGTTGCTCAGTCGGTTGAGCATCTGACTTCGGCTCAGGTCACAGGATTCCAGGGCCCTGCAATCGCGGGATCGAGACCCGCCCCGCGTCTGGCTCCCTGCTCAGCGGGAGGTCTCCTTCTCCCTCTGCCCCTCATACCACTCATGCTCTCTCTCTCACACTCTCTCTCTCAAATAAATAAATAAAATCTTTTTTTTAAAAAAGAAATTTCCACATATAACCATTATCTTAGAACAGAGAATGGTCTATTTTTTTATTTTTATTTTTTCTTGAAGTATAGTTATTGACGCAGTGTTTTTTTGTTTTAAAGATTTTATTTATTTATTTGACAGAGAGAGACACAGCGAGAGAGGGAACACAAGCAGGGGGAGTGGGAGAGGGAGAAGCAGGCTTCCTGCCGAGCAGGGAGTCCGATGCGGGACTCGATCCCAGGACCCTGGGATCATGACCTGAGCCGAAGGCAGACACTTAACGACTGAGCCACCCAGGCGCCCCTGTTGACACGTGTTACATTAGTTCAGGTGTACAACTTAGTGAGTGGACAACTGTGTTGTGCTATGCTCAAGTGTAGCCACCGTCTGTCACCGTACAGTACCATCGACTGTATTCTCTGCGCTGTACCTTTCATCCCCATGACTGCAAGCCTGTCCCTCCCACTCTCTTTCACCCCCTTTGCCCATCTCCCACCCCCTTCATTCTGGCAACTATCGGTTTGTTCTCTGTATTTATGGGTCTGTGTCTGCTTTATTTGTTCCTTTTTTAGAGTTCACATATAACTGAAATCATACAGTATTTGTCTTTCTCTGATTTATTTCACTTAGCATTATACCCTCTGGGTCCATTCATGTTATTGCTAATGGCAAGATCTCATTCTTTTTTATGGCTGAGTAATATATATATATATATATACATATATATATATATTTATATTTGTTACTGGCCATTCTGACAGGTGTAATATGATACATCTTGTGGTTTTGATTTGCATTTCCCTGATGATTAGTGATGTTGAGCAGCTTTTCATGTATCCCTTTGGGAAATGTTTATTGAGGTCCTCTGCCCAGTTTTAACAATCAGATTGGTTTTTTTTTGTAGAACAGAGAACTTTTTGATGTGCAAGGTGACAGGGCAGGCACACTTCCCTATAAGTCCCACAGGCACCGGGATCAACTGAATGGAGTCTCACTGCTTCCTTGGCTAGCCCTGCTGAGGAAAGTCCTGCAGCTTCCAGCCCCAAATGCACAAATGGAGGGGAAAATGAGATGACTTCTTAGCCTCAGCCAACAGCTGAACTTTCCTGGCTTTTTGGGTCTTGTTGATGTAGGTCATGCTCCTCTCTGGAATAGCTCCCGGTTCAGACTTCTGCTCTGTGTGCAGGCTGCTGGTGAGGGGTTTGACTAGGGGTCAGAGATGGGCCCATGTTGATGGCTGCCTGGGAGCTGAGAAGTCTTGACCTGCCTTGGGCTCAAAAGAGTCTCTGGGTCCCCCCAGCTATTTCTATCCTGTGGAAAATAGCCCAGTGGCTTCAATTCTTTCTTCTCTGGCCACATCCAGAAGTCCTACCCACTCTCCTCTGTTGTCATTGCCTCACCTCCCCAACTTCTAAAGTGTGCCAAACGATCCTTCTTGACCATGGGCATATTATTCTCTTTCCTGGTAGCAATAATCTAATTCTTTTGGAGGAAGGTAGGGTCTGAAGGTATGATTAATAATTAAGATTGATTAAAAAAAAAATCTCTGGCTCTCCGCCCTGACCACCAGGCAGCACTTTGTTCTCTTTCCCACAGGCAAGCAACTTTGTTGCCAAGAGTTGACTTTCTTGCCAGAACTCAGCAGGGGTTATAGCTTTCTTTCATTTCCAGTATTTTACTTTGGCTATCTGAACTGGGGAATGAAGCCTGCTCAAGATTTAACGGACTCCAGCACTGGATGACTGCTGGTACCGTGTTATAGAAATCCATATGCCTTCTCCAGTTAAATACCTGCCCACCATAGGGGTCCGATCTGGATTTTCTCAGGAAGCAGAAGATGGGGATGGCGGTGAAGAAACTGGAATGAGCATCCTTAAATACAAAGATCCTTCCTCTTAGGCCCTGTGTTCCAGAGTCCCAGGCATCCTCATCACGGAGCAGTGATAATCTTGCTAAAGTCACGGGTCCCAACCCTGACTTAGGGGCCAGAGTAACACCAGATGAACCCAGGTCTGGAGCTGGACCAGAGCCCAGCCCTTCGGCTCCTAGTTGAATTGTCACTTGGCAAGATGGCAAAGGAAACGGTTTTAGGGCTCCAAGGGTCCCATGGAAGTCCCCGGCTTTTGGGGCATTGATCTGCTTTTCTCTGTTGCTATGGTTGAAGGTGTTCAGTATTTCATCAGCGTGGCATATGGGCACCAGCACCAGTGGCTGCTTTGTGGGGAGGGGCTGGCGTGGGGGCAGGAGGCCCGAGGGGGCTCAGAGCCATTTCTCAGCCAGTGCCCGAGGCTTCCAGGACACAAGTGCAGATCTGAGTGATTGCCGTCTGGTTGGTTGAAAACTTTCACCAAATAAAAAAACAACTTGGGATTTTGCCAAGAAATAGAGCTTTGTCTTTCCTTGTGTGTCTGTTGAGACCTAGGAAAATGATGCCTCTTACCCCCTCCCTAAACATGGGACTGGTCTGGCTGGCAAGGAGGTTTCACTTTCTATCTTTGCAGACCTTCAGAGAAAGCGATTATGATCCTGTGGCTGACACCCAGGGTGTGAGATGGCTGAATTTTGGGCGTGGGTGCCTTAGAAATGAGCATGCATATGTTGACCACAGACCGTCTCATCTTTTGACGAAAACATAGCATTGAATGGCCTTTATTTTGATTATTAGGACATGTTGCGGATTTTGTGAGCTTTGGTTGAAGTTTCTCTATAATTATCTCCAAATTTCAGAGGGCTTTGGTTTTTTCCAGTTTTTAGTCCTATGAAATTGAAAGTTGAGAGGGATCTAGAGGTGAGTTTGGATATAGATGTGGGTTTGAGCTGGAAAATGGAACTGATACATGCAGGCCAGATGCTCAGCAGAAAGGAAAATAAAGGTTCAGGCAACCCAGGTGCCTGAATGTGAGGAAGCCCCCCTCTGGTGGTGCCCAGTTCCCCCCAGTACCCTTCTTCCCCGTCTCCTCCCAAAATGGTGTCTTTCTGGCAGCAGGTCATGCTCCGAGAGCTGCTAATTTCCCCCAGGGGTGGCCGCTGACCACACGATTGTGGCTCCACTTTTCTCTTCCCTGGGGACGCAGTGGGGAGGGCTCAGGCCCTGGGCCCTTGGCGAGAGATCACTTGAAACGGTGTCTATTTGTTTGTTTCCTCGACTGCTTAGTCATTTGTGCCGCTGGGGGTGTGGCTGCCGACTGCTGAGTGGCCAAGCTGTCGGGCAGTGGGAGCCTTTCTGCCCCGTTTGTACTGGGTGTCTCTGTGGGCGTGAAGGCCAGAGATGGCTATCTGGAATCGCTACGCTGTGGCTGCTAGGGGGCCTGGAGGACTTCGCTGTCTCTCCTCCACCGCACCCTCCACGCCCTCGGCGCTCCTCTGTTCCTGTCCCGCCAGGAGGGAAGGGACAGAAGGTTTAGTCTCTGATTTACTGGTAGGGAACTCAGGCCTCTGCCTTGCACCAGCCATTCTGGCTTCCATTCTGATTCTCCTGTGAAAGAAAATGCTTCAGCCAAGAGGGATGGATGACACTGGCAGGAGCCTTCCCCGTAGGAACTGGGTGCCCATGCCCCAGCCCATGCTTTTCGCACTTGTCCTTTCTTCTGTGGCCCAGGACCTCGCTCCTGGCAGTGGGGCAAAAGGAAGGGCAGGATGGATGGAAGCAGAAGCTGCTTCAGGCGGGAGAAGTGGGACCCGGCCCCAGGAGTCCTTTCTCTGGGGGGCATCCCTACTCTGCTCTGACGAGAACTTCAGGGTCCTGGTCAACCACTTTTCTATCTCCTCTCCAATAGATCAGGCCAGCTCTGAGGGCTGGTGTCTCAGTTTCCACTTGTTTGACATCTTCCTGATCCGGTCCTACCTCACCTGACTCCCACTAGTCCTTCAGGTCATATAGGAAAGTCATTTTCCCAGGAAGCCATTCTTAACTCTGTCCGTCCCATTCCCTACTCCCAACGCCCTTTGTTATATTCTGCCTTATCACTCTGTTCTTGCCTAGCATATCACTCACTATGTGTTGTTGTAAAAATACATTCTCCCCGATATGAGAGGCAAAGGATAGGTTACAGATTTATCCTCAAGACCTAGTCCTTGAGGACTAGGGAGGCTCTTCAAATATTTGAATGAAGGTGGGCTTGGATTTTCTTAAAATTTTTAGGTCAGGTATTTAAACCTACTTTCTTTAGATCAGGGGACAAAGAGGAATTTAGTTTTGGAGCTATTGAAGCTGAAAAATCTGTGTCCAGGGCCCAGCCAAATACATGGGTCTGAAACTCAAGTAAAAAGATCATCCTTGGGAAATAGACTTGGAAATTATTAGCAAGTCCTGGGAGGTGGCCTTCTACACCCCCAGTGTTGCTACAGTCTAGATTTGGCATGGTTAGAAGAACAGGATCATGGGAGAGGGAGGACAAGGGTTCTCTCTCCAAGCAGATTTTCTTTCCCATGGGTTTATCCATTTGTTTTCTTTTTTTTTTTTTTTTTTTTTTTAAGATTTTTTATTTATTTATCTGAGACAGAGAGAATGAGAGAGACAGAGAGCACATGAGAGGGGGGAGGGTCATGCGGGACTCGATCCAGGGACTCCAGGATCATGACCTGAGCCAAAGGCAGTCGCTTAACCAACTGAGCCACCCAGGTGCCCCTATCCATTTGTTTTTCATCACAGAAATGGCTTCCACCTTCCATCCACGAGAATGTGAGCTGTCTAAACAAGAAGGGCAAAGCTATGGCTTCTTCCTGCGAATTGAGAAGGACACTGCTGGCCACCTGGTCCGGGTAGTTGAGAAGGGTAGCCCAGCGGAGGAGGCGGGCCTCCAGGATGGAGACCGAGTTCTTAGGATCAATGGTGTCTTTGTGGACAAGGAAGAGCATATGCAGGTGAATGGGACATCTGGGGTTCTTCTTCTAGGATCTCTTTAGCCTCCACATCTCTGCTGATAAGTTTTTGGGGTCAGTGGAGATTTCCCAGCTGCCACTGGCAAGGCAGACCCCTTTATGGCTATACCTTCTGCCCACTAATCAAGTCCCCTCCAATTAACTGGGAACTGTAAAATTATTCCTAGATTGAATAGTGTCAGAGCCAATAGGCATCAGGTTTGCTATATGCCAGGAACTATGCTAGGCAATTTCATATTCATTATTTTGTTGAACCCTCATCACAACCCATGAGGTCACATATCACCATTTCACAGAAGAGGGCTCAAAGGCTCAGAGAACTTCGCTTGCTTATGTGTTCATGCAGTGAACACATGGGAGGGTCTGACCTTACCCCAGTTCTGCCTACCTCCTGGTGGATGCTCCTTTCACTACACCAGGCTGTTTCCATTAGCCCAGCTAGGATTCGGCCACACTCTGGGTTCCAACAGTGCGAGAGCCCTGCCCCCTCCAATCTGTACCTGGATCTTAAGAGGGATGGGGTCTAGATGGCTGGAGCACCACCTGCTGACTCTTTGGGCTTCAGGGGTCAGCATTCAAGAATCTCTAGATCCAGTGAATGAGCCAGATGGTGAGCATCCCCTATGGTGGCTGATAAGGTTCTTGGTTAGTTATCTTTTTCTTCCTCCTAGGTTGTAGATCTGGTCAGAAAGAGTGGGAATTCAGTGACTTTACTAGTCCTGGATGGGGATTCCTATGAGAAAGCAATGAAAAAGCAGGTAGACTTGAAAGAGTTGGGTCAAAGTCAGAAAGAGCCGAGTGTGAATGATAAGAAACTGCCTGCTGTGATGAACGAAGGAGCACAGACTTGGACTCAGCCACGGCTCTGCTATTTGGTGAAGGAGGGGAACAGCTATGGCTTCTCTCTGAAAACTGTCCAAGGTGAGTCGAGGGTGGAATTTCCAGAAGAAAGATATTGTTATTGGTTACTGACTTCTTTGACAAACTTTTCAGATGCTATGGCTATCCAATTGCAGCTTCTCCCTCCATCCCTCTTTCCCTCCCTGGCCCTTCCCTTGCTTTGACAATTGTGCAATGAAGGATCAAAACACTGGACCCAGCACAGAGTGGGGAGGGCCACTAGTCACTCTTGTCCCCCAGTGTTTGTTAGGCTGAGCCTTGGAGGCCAGAGGGTTAGAGGGCTGATGCTTCTTTGTTATTCTTTCCTAGCTGCCTTAGGGTGAGGGTGGAGGGGAGAAGGGGGAATAAAAGGCAAGAAAAAAGAGATTCTTTATAAGAGCTACTTTTGAAGAAGGATGATATCTTTACACTTCTGAGTGCCCAGGTAATCATTTATTCAACAAATTCTTGAGCACCTGTTGATGGGCCAGACCCTGTTATAGTTGCCACAGATGCTACTCTACTAATCATCCCCCCCCAACGCCGTGACATTGAAATAGGACCTTCAGCTGTGGCCTAGCCTCCATGGCTCTAAGGTGCGTCCATCAGCAAGTACTAGAAGCTCTGTTTCTAGAATTTCAGAGATGCAGGCTGGCTTTTGCTCAGTTGGTCGTGGTTCTGTGATGGTGTCTCTGGGATTTAGGTTAGAGCCATAGAGGCTATATAAGCCTTTTGGTTCTACCTTGAATGTTGCTCCTCCCATGTTCTTCCTGCTACTGGAGGAGCGCTGGTCATAATTGGGTAAGTAATAAATAGCAGACCAATAGTAAACATAAAATTGTTTCCGAGGCTTATTTAACCTATAGTAAGTGATATAAATTAGCTGTAAGAGGTATTTCTCAAGTTTGTCCATTATTAAACATAATGGCGCAGGTGGTCAAGGGAAGCTTGGCATTTCTTAGAAGTCCATTATCAGCAAAATGGTGAAAAAATTATCATAATTCAGATTTTATTCATTTGACTCTTGTGCTAATGTACATAATAAATGGTTTAAATTAGCTTTATGAAGAAGATGTTTTCTTCATGACAAATATATAACAAGGTAATGGGAGAAATTTTAAGGCAGCAGTTTATACTGTTATTCCTTACAAATGATTTATTTTGTCATTGTGAAGCTACCCTTTGCCTAGGTTGAAATATTAATATCTGGAAAGAATTGACAGCATTTCTATAAGAAGCACCTAAATCGCATCATCTACTAATCTAGACTGACTGTACATGTGTATACATCCCTGCCGTTCTGTGCCTCTGTCCTCTTAAGCCTGCATGAGCGAGATTTAGTGACTTCATTGGTATGTGATGGTTGGTGATGGTACTAATTAAAGAAGACAGAATGGAGCAGATGCCTTCTAATTCCACAAAGACGAAGAACAGGAGTAAGATACAATGATGCAGCATGGACATGGCTTGGTGCTTTCTGGCTCAAGAGGCCACTGCCCTCTGAGATTCCTTCCTTGCCTTCAGTTGGGCTCAGAAATTCTATTCAGATCAGTAGAAACCAACCGAATAATGTCTGTGTCAAGCTTTGTGCTAGGAGCTATAATTTTAATTCTAGATCAGAAGCCCAAGTCTATTTGAGTTAGCTTTAAAACTGGAAGTTGTAATTTTACATTATTGGGAGAAAACCCTTTATAGTTGGACTTTCTGTGTAATGGAGTTGTCATGCTTGTCCACACCCTTGCAGGTAAAAAGGGAGTGTACATGATGGATATAACGCCTCAAGGTGTGGCTATGAAAGCTGGTGTCCTGGCTGGTGATCACTTGATTGAAGTGAACGGAGAGAATGTCGAAGATGCCAGCCATGAGGAAGTGGTTGCCAAGGTATAGCCCAGAGGGGTACTTTTCTTACCTTTCACTCTGTTCTTGTTGGAAGTGACAGGAAGACACGAATGGTAGTTTATGATGGGAGGAATATAATGATGAGAAGTTAACGAACCCTTTGTATTAAGAGGGAACAGACTCACTAGTGGTGTCAGCAGTGTTAACATAGGGTTTTGGAATAAGGCCTTTGCTAGTTTCAGGTTTTCGGAGAGAAGCATTCTAAAGAATCGTTAACTTTAGTTTCTGGATCTTATTTGTACCTGATTGGGAGCCCCCTCTGAATTTATAACAAAGTCGGTGTTTTACTAAAATGTTTTAATACAAGCTGGCAGATAACCAATGTGGTGAGGGATACAGAGCTACACATGGGGAGTGTTGGAAGACCCGTTCTTCTATTCAGATCAGTAGAAACCAACCGAATAATGTCTGTATCAAGCCCAAATCTTACATCCCAGCACAGTTCCATGACACATGGATAATACTCTGAGGTTTTCCTTTGAGGTCATATGGAACCTTGAACACTGACCAACTTTATCTTTTCTTGGTAGAATAATTTTTCAAAATAGACCTTAACTTGATTTTCCAAACTCCTTTTCTAGACTTAAGTACCTCACTTAAGTACCCTTCTGGGTTTTCTGAATTCTAGCTGTCACGTAGGTTCAGTTAGCATCTGTGTGGGTGAGGGCATACACAACTGTGGACGTGGGGATAGTGTTGACTATTACTGATGGTAGGTGGGAGTATCATAGTTTAAACTTGGGCCTTACATTCCATCTTTTCTATCGAGTCTGGAGACTGTGTGCCTCTAGGAAGAAACTTCCCTGCTTGCCAGCATTGTTCTTGGAGACGGCTGGCAGTCTTACCTGTGTGTGCTCTTGCAGGTGAAGAAATCCGGAAGCCGAGTCGTGTTCCTGCTGGTGGACAAGGAGACTGACAAGCTCCATGCTGAGCAGAAGATAAAATTCAGGAGAGAAACAGCCAGTTTGAAATTGCTACCCCACCAGCCCCGGGTTGTGGAGATGAAGAAGGGAAGCAATGGCTATGGTTTCTATCTAAGGGCAGGCCCAGAACAGAAAGGTAAGGCACTAGAAGAACAGAAAACCTGGTGGTGTAACCATCTAATTCTTCACCCACTCTGACTCCAGAGTTCTGTTAGGCCCCCGAGTCCCTACCAGCTGCATGAGGGGACAGTGAGAGACTAGAGAGCATGGCTGGGTCATTTTCCATGGGGGCCATGATGGGCATCTCAAGGTTTCCTTAGCAGAATGATAAGGCAGAATTTTGGATCTGGGCAGTAGTATGCTGTAAATTTGCTCTCTGGCAAAAAAAAATGCCCTAATTTGTAGCATTTGTTGATTTTTTTGTTTATTATTTGTGGTGTAAATACTCCCAATATACCTGATTTCAAGCCATGAATGTGCTGTCACAGAATGCAAAGTTGAGAAGTCTTGAACAGAAATGGTTCTCACAAGCTGGTGTGAGCCATCTCCAATACACCACTGGATCTGAGTCAGGGGTGTGGGTCGGGATCTGGGAAACAAATAGAATCCGGAATCTTTCTGATTCCTTATAACTCAACAAGGAAAGAACTAAGGTCCTTATAGGGAAGCTGAATATATAAAGGAATGCAGACTCAGGCAAACTGTTGTTCTAGACATTGCTATTTTCTTTTCATTATGTATATTTATGTTAATTCATCAAATATTAATTTGATTCATATTATATAAAAACATCCTCAGGGCCTTATAGAATATCAAGTGAATCAAACAGGAATTCTTCAGTCAAGGAGCCCACTATTTAGTAGAGGAAATACACACATATGTCCATAACTGAAGGTGGATGGTGAGGGGCACCTTAATGTGGGGTAGAGTAGTATTGGAATTCAAGATTGGAGCAGTTTTTTTTACTAAAAAAGTACTGGAAGACCTCATGGTAGAGATAGCAGCTGAGCTCAGGCTTTGTAGTTGTGAATAAAATTTGGACAAGTAGACGGTATGGGGACAACGAAGGCCATTCCATGAGGATAGGATTGTGTGAACAAAGCAGGGAAACATGGGTGCCGTTTGGCATCTAATGCGTGGCACAGAAAACGACGTTAGAAAGGTAGGTTGGAAAGAGATGATGAGGGCCTTCAATGCCAAGTTGAAGAGTTTGGACTTGGCTCTGTAGTTGATGGGGAGTGAAAAGTTTTTTCAACAGTGTGAGAGGAAAAAATTAAGCCTACAGCATCTTGGGGCTTTATATATCTCAATTACTCCTAATAATTCTGCAAGAAGAATTTCTGAAATTGAGGGCAGGGAGAAGATACAGTAATTATTATAAGGACAAATAGTTTGTGGCTTAACTAGGATCAAATTCAGGTCTTGTTCAGTTCTAAAGCCCTCACTTGTGCCGTTGTAGCCAGGAATGACTTGGTCAGACCTTGCATCAAGATGAATCTGAAGGCAGATCTGTAGTGGAGAAGGCAAGGATTAGGGGCAGGGAGAGCAGCTGGTGAGGTGTTGTAGTCGTTAGGTAGAATTTAAGGCAGGAACTAATACCACCTGCACTTAGGGTAGAAGTGGGGCCAGAGAGGAGATGTGTCAAATATTAAGGTAGCATCAAATGACCTAGCAGTTGATTAGAATATGGGGAGTGGATACTGAGGAAGAATTGGTGCTAAATATCAGTGACTGGGGTGATGGTGCTGCCATGGTCAGGTGACAAGGGGAGGAGCTTTGGGATGTGGGAGATGGGCAGAGATGACTTTTGGTTTGAATGTGTTACATTTGAGGGACCTATGGGCTATCTGGTTGGAGATGCCCAGCAGCTAGCTGGAAAAGTGAAACTGGAGCTTGTTAAAATAGTGGGAGGGACAAAAAAAAGTGTGAGAGATCTGAAGGCACCTGGTGAAGACAGTTCAAGTCAGGAGAGGAAGGGTAAAGGCGCATCCTTGAGGCAAGCACACACAAACACGTTCACAGTTGAATACACCCAATTGCTACTAAAATGCCAGCATGTGTTTCCTAGGCTCTGAGTTCTTTGGTTTTGTTCTTCTTTCTTCTTCCTGCCCCATTTTAATGGCTTAGCTTCTACATAAGATGTATGGGTACATGGATGCTCACTGACTTCCTGGGAACTTGCTGACTCTTAATGCTTAGCATGCTGTTTTGTCAAGATTGAGTCTCAGACACTTTGGTAACAACCGGATTCTTTTCTTTAAGATCCTTTCATCAGTAATGGCTGAATTTGTTCCTGGAGTAAGTTGTGGGCAGGGAATGAGGCTGGATAGGGTGCTTATCGTCTTCCTTGGGTGCCAGTGGGAGGGGCAGTCGTATGCAGCGTGCCTTTTAAATTTATGTTATCAGAGCCTTTGGCTTCAGCAGAAATTCGACAGCTTAATTTAGGGGTCTTTCTGATAATTTTATTTAATTTTGGGGGAGGGTAGGTCAAGTCATCAAGGACATAGATTCCGGAAGTCCAGCAGAGGAGGCTGGCTTGAAGAACAATGACCTGTTAGTCGCTGTCAACGGCGAGTCTGTGGAATCCCTGGATCATGACAGTGTGGTGGAAATGATTAGAAAGGGCGGAGATCAGACTTCACTGCTGGTGGTGGACAAAGAGACGGACAACATGTATAGACTGGTAAATAATTTAAGGCCGCATATTCATGCATTAAGGTTGGGTCCATTCACTCAAGTCCTCACACTGTGGCTAAGTTACCACTTTGATTTTCAAACTGGAAGGGCATAACCGTCATCATTAAGGCTGCATTGAAGTTCAAATTGGTAGTGATAAGAGAATGCCAAGTGATTGGTACATGAGTTTTAAGTCCTTAGATTCAAAATTTTGAAAGAATTTGCAAATGTAACTATAGAATTACTTTTGGTAATCTGAGAAAAATCTATGAACAATAGCCTAGAAATAGGCAGATGTAGCCCTACCTTTCCCAAATAGGAAACAACCAGATTTTAAAACTATAGACCAATTAATTCCATTAACCCCACATAAAAGCCTAGAAAGGATTGTTAAACAGCTTCTAAGCCCTTAGCAAGGAAATAGAAACACGAATTCACCAAGACTAACCTTAGTGTCAAACTAACCATATTTGCTCTCAGCTTTTAATCACAACAGGTATTATCTGCATGTTTTGTTTTTAAATAATCTTTTATCACAAGAACTGAGGTGTTCAGTCTAGCTTAACAGACATTTGGGGGCCTTCTGCCGATACCATCTGCCTCACTACGTGATGGTCACACAGATGAACAAAGATGGACTTGTTCCAGGTGATATACAATAATGGAACATCCTAAGGTGCATAAATAATACAGAGGAATATGGTAGGGGGTGGTATTAGCCCCTTTTTATAGATTAGCAATTTCTTAGTCCCTCTAAACTTCATTTTTTAAAAAGTCACCCACCTCGGCCTGTATTTGAACCCAAGTTCTTAATTCATTATACCATATACCCTCTCAGCACATTTTGATTAGCAATTTTAAGGTACTGTGTAAAGAAAATTAAAGAGTGAACTAGATGATAGAACAGTTAATGGGTTTTTAGCTAGTTGTACAACCATACCTGAAGAATAATTGATACTGGAACAACGTCAGTCTGAATAGATGTCTCCAGCGGTATGCTTCTTATCCTAAGCTAGTTTATTACCACATTTGGATGGAGACATGGAAAACATTTAATATACTTAAGTCATACAGATGGCTTAATGTGTCGATGGGTAATTAATTTACTAGAGATTATAATATTCAAAATATCCAGTCAGGATAGAAAGAAGAATAAAAACTAATAAGTTTAAGTTTAAACAGGAATGAATTTCAGGTACTAACCTAACTTAAAACGAAATTGTATGAACACCAAATGGTGAGACCTGATTTGAGGGCTACAAAAAAAGACCAGAAACCTGATGATACTCTAAGTAGCTGCCCCCACCCCCCAAAAGGCAATTTAAAGTTACCTTAACTGACACTTGGCCTTCGGAGGTGGTAGTATTACTGTACTGAGTTGTTCAGACCATACTTGAAATGACCAGTAATGTAATCTTGGGCAAGTTACCCTCCCTGTGCTTGCCTTCTTAGTTGTAAGATGGGGATAGCTACTGTGAAGGGTTATTTGAGGTAATATTTAGAACATTCAGAATAATGCCTGGCACATAGAAATGTTGTTTGTTAAGTCAACACCGTGTGCAGTTCTGAGAACCTGACTATAAGAAGGCCAGTGTCAAGAAAGGTAATCAGGGCAGGGGTTTGGGAAATCACCATGTGAATATTTTGAATCAGCATAGGCTTTGGGGAAGAAAGGAGAACATCTTCAAGAATTTGAAAGGCTAAATGGTAACTGTGTAAGGTGATAGATATGTTAATTACCTTGATTGTGGTGATCACTTCACAATGTGTATGTGTATCAAATAATACTATGCACCTTGAATATATACAATTTGTCAATTACACTTTAATAAAGCTGGAAAAAACATGAAGGAAACATTGACAAACTTGAAAGTAGAAATAGACAGTTCTACCATAATAGTTGGGAGATTTCAATATCCCATTCTCTATCATGGATAGAACCACCAGTCAGAAGATAAGGAACCCAAGGACTTGATAAACAAAAGAAACCAACTAGATCTAACAGAAATACAGAGCACTCTACGCAACAACAGAACACATTCTTCTCAAGGGCACATAGGACATTCTCCAGGATAGACCATATGTTAGGCCACAGATTAAGTCACAAGAGCCAAAAGATGGAATCAACCCAAGTGTCCACTGTCAAATGAATGGATATAAAGATGTAAATATAGTGTGTGTATGTGTGTATGTTCTTCATATGTATATATATATGTATATATATATAATATAAACATACATATATATAAAATATACACACATATATAAATATACACATATATACACACACATATATAAAAGAATTCAGAAGGCTATTACATGCAAGAAGTCCTTATTTTTGAGGTGTTCTATGGGGCATAGCTTAATCAAATAGAGAATGTCTAGGGAGCTAGCTTTTGGCTTAAGGACAGCTGAAGCTGCCAGAAACAGGGGGAGCCATTTTTGCCAAGTGGTGACCTCCCATTTGGTGGGAAAGTTTAGGCAGAAGTCAGGAGGTCACTGCTCTGGCTGCTGTAAAGGGGATTCTGGCATCAGTGCTTTTCCAATCCCTCCTGATTTTATGACAATGATTTAACTATAATGTTCTGGTTTAATATGAGAGAACTTTGATCTAAAAAGATGCCTGTCCCCATCTTCTCTCTCCCTCCCCCCAAACCCCCTCTAAAGTAGGTTACATACAGGGGTGGGTGGCTCAGTGGGGGATCTTTGAGATACATCGTTGAATAAAACAAACACCTAAAGCAGTTCCTGGCACATATTAGGCACGCAAATAACTGAAAGTGAATAAAAACTCATTGACTGTTTAATGTTACTGTACTTACCTTCAAGATCAGCGGCTATGATCACATACAGTTGATTTGCCTGTTGGGTAGTGATGTCAGAGGTATTTTTGTATGTAATGAGTCATTGATACTTTCCACATTTTTTTAAAAGACTTTATTTATTTATTTGTCAGAGAGAGAGGGCACAAGCAGGGTGAGTGGCAGGCAGAGGGAGAAGCAGGCTCCCCGCTGAGCAGGGAGCCCGACGTAGGGCTCGATCCCAGGACCCTGGGATCACGATCTGAGCCAAAGGCAGATGCTTAACTGACTGAGCCACCCAGGCATCCCAACTTTCCACATTTTAAAGACAGAGAGAAATGTGGGACATTTGCAAGTATATCACTGAAAGTTCTGAAATTTAGTTGAACCGGGTAAGTAGGAGTTCTTAGCTGGTGTTACTCTTATTTAGAAAGGAAGATGTGGTCTTGTGGTTAGTGAGAGAGATGATAACCAGAGGACCCCAATCTAATTTTAACCAGGCTGCTGAACAGTACAATTTGGGGCAGAGTGCACACTGTACTCACTTTCGATTGCTTGATTTTCTACTCATGGCCTAACAAATGTCCTGGATACTTGTGGGCAGCAATTTAACTGCTGATCCAGGATCTTACCATACCCAAAGCTACCCTTTTAATTCTCAGTTAAAACCCACAGTCTACTAAGCTTTTAATTCTTTTAAAAAATCAGTCATATGTTTCCTGTTCTATGTCTCTTTTGTATTCAAGACCATCACTCCCTTCTTCGCATGGATGGTCTGAGAGTGGAGATGGATTAGAAGTATTTAAAGATGGTGAGGAGTTTGGCATAACAGGAGTGTCAGCTAATGATTACAACAAACAATAGTAAAATGAGTACAACAAATTACTCTGTGTACTTCAGATGGTAATAAAAATAGCGTTTTGTTTCACTTTCTCTGATGTGTTTAAGGAGCTCTGAAGACCATCTCACTGAGGAGGAAGGGCTAGATGAACCTATTATGCATGAGTTACAGGGCAAGTCACTCGATGTGTGTCATCTCCCACAGGGACACTGCCTACAGTTGGTCAGTGACAGTCAAAAGAAACTGCATTTTTGTTAGTTATTTTTGCATCTTTGTACAACATCCTATACTGCTTTTATTTTATGTATATGTGAATTTATTTACTCCATAGCCAAGCTCAATCTTTCTTTATACCTTTTCTGGTTGGGGTAGTATAGAAAAATTTACTGCCCACAACCAGATGTGTCTGCCAGGCTTGTGGAACATGCATGACCCCTTGTAAATTAAGCTAGCACATTTAATAATGTGTAACTACTCATACTTACAATTAATGTTTTTTTCCCTTTATTTTCAAAAGGCTCATTTTTCTCCATTTCTCTACTATCAAAGTCAAGAACTGCCTAATGGTTCTGTCAAGGAGACTACAGCTCCTACACCTGCTCCTCTAGAGGTTTCAAGTCCAGATACTACAGAGGAAGTAGGAGATCATAAGCCTAAGCTCTGCCGGCTGGTTAAAGGGGAAAACGGCTATGGCTTTCGCTTAAATGCGATTCAGGGTCGGCCAGGCTCCTTCATCAAAGAGGTATGGTCATCTGGTTCTAGCAGGCCCATGAACACAGCCAGAGTGTCTCCCACTCATTGATGGCTTAGTAAAAAGGTTACATTGAAAAGCCTGCACTGAGGGTCTCACTTGGGTTTAAATAAATGCTGTCATGGTCCTGTACCCTTTAAGAGAGTGACTAGTACATCCTAAGCTCACATCTTTTGTTTTTCTTAAACACCTAATTGTCTTTAGAGACTTTCCAATCAAATAGAGCGATTCGACATGACTGTAGTGGACAGTCACTGTCAGCTCTGACTGGGAGTGATACCTGTTTACCTTGACACATTTGGCATAATGTCCCTAGCCTGGAGGGACTGACACTGAGAAGGCTGTCCCTATGGCTCTCAAGTTAGGAATGCAGAAAGGGAACCTACGAAAGCAAATTAGTGCCTTCAACCCAGAAGACCTACAATACGATATTCAACCACTGTAACGCTACATATTTTTCTTCTGATGATCTTAATGATATTTTTTAAAAATTGAAGTATAGTTGACATACAATGTGATATCAGGTGTACAACATAGTGTTTTAACAATTCTATACATTACAAATGCTCCTCATTGGTAAGTGTAGTTACCACTGTCACATACAGTTATTAAATATTGTTGACTATATTCCCTAAGCTGTACTTGTAATTCCTGTGATTTACTTATTTTATAACTGGAAGTTTGTACTTCTTATCCCCTTTGCCTATTTTGCCCATATCCCCCATCTACCTCTGTTTTGGCAACCAGTTTTTTTCTCTGGATTTGAGTCTATTTCTGTTTGTTTTGTTTCTTGGATTCTATATATAAGTGAAATCATGAGGTATGTGTCTTTTACAGTCTGACTTATTTCATTTAGCATAATACTATCTAAGCCCATCCATGTTGTTGTGAATGGCAAGATTTCATTCTTTTTTATGGTTGAGTAATATTCCATTGTGTGACACATGCACACACATTTCTTTATCCATTCATCTATCCGTGGGCACTTAGGTGGCTTCCATAATCTTGGCTATTATAAATAATGCTGCTGTAAACATAGGGGTGCACAGATCTTCTCAAATTGGTGTTTTTGTTTTCTTTGGGAAAATACTCAAAAGTGGAATCAATGGGTCTTATGGTTTTTCTATCTTAAATTTTTTGAGGAATCTCTATACTGTTTTCCATGATGGCTGCACTGATTTACAGTCCCACCCTCAGCACACTGGGGCTTATTCCCTTTTCTCCACATCCTTGCCAATACTTGTTATTTCCTATCTTTTTGGTACTAGCCATTCTGACAGGTGTGAGGTGATATCTCATTGTGGTTTTGATTTACATTTTCCTGATTAATAATGTTGAGCGTCTTGGGGTGCCTGGGTGGCTCAGTTGGTTAAGTGTCTGCCTTCCGCTCAGGTCATGATCCTGGAGTCCTAGGATTGGGCCCTGCATCAGGCTCCCAGTTCAGCAGGGAGTTTGCTTCTCCCTCTGCCCCTTACCCTGCTTGTGTTCTCGCTCTCTCTCGGTCTCTCTCAAATAAATAAATGAAAATCTTAAAAAAAAATGTTTAGCATCTTTTCTCACGTGTCTCTTGGCCATGTGAATGTCTTTTTTGGGAAAATGCCTATTCAGGTCTTCTGCCCATTTCTTAATTGGATTATTTGTTGTTACTTGTTGTACGAGTTTATATATATTTTGGATATCAACCCCTCATCAGATATATCATTTGCAAATATCTTCTCCATTCAGTAGGTTGCCCTTTCATTTTGTTGATGCTTTCCTCTGCTGTGCAAGAGCTTTTTAGTTTGACATAGTCTGGATAGTTTTTTTGCTTTTATTTCCCTTGCCTGAGGAGACAGATCTAGAAAAATGTTGCTAAAGCCGATGGCAGAGTAATTATTGCCTGTGTTTTCTTCTAGGAGTTTTATGGTTTCAGGTCTCATATTTAGGTCTTTAATCCATTTTGAGTTTATTTTTGTATGTGGTGTTAAGAAAGTGGTCCAGTTTCATTCTTTTGCATGTAGCTTTCCAGTTTTCCCAGCACAATGTATTGAAGACATTGTCTTTTCCCCACTCTATATTCTTACCTCCTTTGTTGTAGATTAATTGACCGTATAAGCGTGGGTTTATTTCTGGGCTCTCTATTCTGCTCCATTGATCTATGTGTCTACTTTTATGCCAGTACTACACAGTTTTGACTACTGTAGATTTGTGGTATACCTTGAAATCTAGGATTGTGAGACCCCAGCTTTGTTCTTCTTAAGATTGCTTTACCTATGAGGGATCTTTGTGGTTCCATACACATTTTTAAGATCTTTTGTTCAGTTTTGTGAAAACCACTATTGGAATTTTGATAGGAATTGCATGGAATCTGTAGATTGCTTTGGGTAGTATAGACATTTTAACACTATTAATCCTTCCAACCTATGAGCATGGGCTATCTTTCCATTAACATCTTACAGTTTTCAGAGTACAGGCCTTTCAAACCTCCTTCTTAAACTTCATTAAGTTTATTCCTAGGTATTTTATTCTCTTTGAAGCAATTGTAAATGGGATTTCTTTCCTTCCTTCCTTCCTTCCTCCCTCCCTCTCTCTCCTCTTTCTCTCTCTCTTTTCTCCCTTCCTTCTTTTCTCTCTCTCTTTCTTTTTCTTTCTTTCCCAGTGTGGGGCTCAAACTCACAACCCAGAGATCAATAGTTGAATGCTCTTCTGAGCCAGCCAGGTGCCCCAAAGTGGAATTGTTTTCTAAATTTCTCTGCTACTTTGTTATTAGTGTACACCAACACAACAGATTTCTATATATTACATTTGTATCCTGCAACTTTATTGAATTCATTTACTCTAATAGTTTTTGGTGGAGTCTTCAGGGTTTTCTATATGTAGTATCATGTCAAATAGTGACAGTTTTACTTTTTCCTTACCAATTTAGATGTCCTTTATTTCTTTTCCAATTTTTAAAAAAAGATTTACTTATTTATTTGCGAGAGAGGGAGAGAGATGGTGGGAAGGGGCAGAGGAAGAGAGAATCCCAAGCAGACTCTCCACTAGCGTGGAGCCCGACGTGGGGCTCAATCCCATAACCCTGAGATCACGACCTGAGCGGAAACCAAGAGGCAGATGCTTGACCGAATGAGCCACCCAGGTGCCCCTCCTTTTCCAATTTTTGTAGCTAGAACGTCCAGTACCACATCAAATAAAGGTGGTAAGAATGGACATCCTTGTCTTCCTCCTGATCTTAGAGAAAAAGCTTTCAGCTTCTCACCATCGAGTATGATGTTAACTGAAGGCTTGTCATATAGGGTCTTAATTATGTTGAGGTATGTTCCCTCTAAACTCACTTTGTTGAGTTTTTTTCATGTTGAATTTTGTCTAATGTTTTTTCTGCATTTATTGAGGTGGTCATTAGATTTTTGACTCTCATTTTGTTAATGTGGTGTATCATATTGATTTGTGGATATTGAACCATTCTTGCATCCCTGGGATAAATCCCACTTGAATATGGTTAATGATCCTTTTACTATGTTGTAGAATTTGGTTAGTTAGTATTTTGAGGAATTTTGCATCTATGTTCATTAGGCATATTGTTGTGTAATTTTTTTTTTTTTTGGTGGTGTGTTTGTCTGGTTTTGTTATCAAAAACTGGCCTTGTAGAATGTTGGCCCTGTAGAATGAATTTGGAAGCTTTCCTTCCTCTTCTATTTTTTGGAATACTTTGAGAAGGATAGGTATTAACTCTTCTTTAAATGTTTGGTAGAATTCACCTGTGAAGCCATCTGGTCCTAGACTTCTGTTTGTTGAGAGTTTTTGATTCCTGATTCAATTTGGTTACCAGTCTGCTCAGATTTTCTATTTTTTCCTGACTGAGAAGATTCTGTTTCCAGGAATGTATGTATTTCTTCTGGGTTGTCCAATCTATTTTTATTGAAGTATAGTTGACACATGTTACATTAGTTTTAGGTGTACAACATAGTGATTTGACAACTCTATATGTTATGCTGTGCTCAACCACAAGCGTAGGTACCATCTGTCAGCATACATTATTGTAGTATCATTGACCATATTCCCTATGCCGTACCTTTTACCTCATGATTTATTCACTCCAAATTCCAGCATTTTTGTGTATGGTGTGAGAAAGTGGTCATTCTCTTGCATGTAGCTGTCCAGTTTTCATAGCACCATTTATTGAAGGGACTGTCTGTTCCCCATTGTATATTCTTGCCTCCTTTGTTGATTAATTGACCATATAAGTGTGGGATCATTTCTGGGTTCTCTATTCTGTTCTATTGATCTATGTGTCTATTTTTTGTGCCAGTACTACACTGTTTTGATTACTGTAGCTTTGTAGTATATCTTGAAATCTGGGATTGTGATATACCAAATTTTCTTCTCCCGTCTCAAGATTGCTTTGGCTATTTGGCATTCTTCTGTGGTTTCATACGAATTAGTATTATTTGTTCTAGTTCTGTGAAAAATGTTGTTGGTATTTTGATAGGAATTGCATTGAATCTATAGATTGCTTTGGGTAGTATGAACATTTTAACAATGTTTGTTCTTCCAATCTATGAGCATGAAATGTCTTTCCATTTGTTTGTGTCATCTTCGGTTTCTTTCATCAATGTCTTTTAAGTTTTCTGAGTACAGGCCTTATACCTTCTTTGTTAAGTTTATTCCTAGGTATTTTATTCTTTTTGGTGCAATTGTATATAGAATTGTTTCCTAAATTCTTTTTCTGCTACTTTATTAGTGTATAGCAACACAACTGATTTCTGTGTATTAATTTTATATCTTGCAACTTTATTGAATTCATTTATTCTAATAGTTTTTTGGTGGAGTCTGTTGGGTTTTCTATGTATGGTATGCCATCTGCAAATAATAACAATTTTACTTTTTCCTTATCAATTTGGATGCTTTTTATTTATTGTCTGATTCTTGCAGCCAGGTCTTCCAGTGTTATGCTGGATAGAAGTGGCAAGAGGGAAGGCTGTCCAATTTATTGGCTTCTAATTTTTCATAATCATTTCTTATAATCCTTTGTATTTCTATAGTGTTGGTTGTAACTTCTTTCATTTCTCATTTTGAGTCCTTTTTTTCTTGATGAATCTGCCTAAAGGTATACAGTTTTGTTTATATTTCAGAGAACCAGCTCTTGATTTCATTGATCTTTTCTATTTTTTTTTTTATCTCTATTTCCACTCAGATCTTTATTTCCTTTCTTCTACTAACTTTGGGCTTTGTTCTTTTTCTAGCTCTTTTAGGTATAAGGTTAAATTGAAATGTTCTTGTTTCTTGAGGTAGGGCAGTATATCTATAAGCTTCTTAGAACTGCTTTTACTGCATCCCAAAGACTGAATTGTGTTTTCATTTGTCTCCATGTATTTTTTGATTTCCTTCTTGATTTCTTGGTTGACCCATTCATTGTTTAGTAGTATGTTATTTGTGTTCTTTTTAGATTTTTTCTTGTGATTTCTAGTTTCATACTGTTGTGGTTGGAAAAGATACAGGATATGATTTCAATCATAAATTTATTGAGACCTGTTTTGTGGCCTGATGCAAAATCCTGGGGAATGTTCAATGTGTACTTGAAAACAATGTATATTTAGCTATTTATTTTTATTTTGTATTTAGCTATTTTTGGATGGAATGTTCTGTATGTACTTGCGAAGTCTATCTGATCTAATGTGTTGTTCAAAGTCACCATTTCCTCATTAATTTCTGTCTGGATGATATATCCATTGATGTAAGTGGAGTGTTAAAGCCACCTATGATTATCGTATTACTGTCAGTTTCTCCCTTTTGTCTATCAATAATTCATGTATTCTGGTGCTCCCATGTTGGGTGCATAGATATTTACGATTGTTACGTTGGATTGTTCCCTTTATCATTAGGTAGTGCCTTCGTCTCTAGCTAGTGTCTTTGTTTTAAAGTCTATTTTATCTAATGTAAGCATTGCTACCTTGGCTTTACTTTTGGCTTCCATTTGCATGGTATGTTTTCTAGCGCATCACTTTTAGCCTGTGTCTTTAGGCCTGAGATGAGTCTCTTATAGGCCGCATATAAATGGGTCTTGTTTTTATATCCATTCAGTTACCCACTGTCTTTTAATTGGAGCATTTAGACCATTTACATTTAAAGTAATTATTGATAGGTATGTACCTATGACATTTTGTTAATTGTTTTCTGGCTGTTTTTGTAGTTCTATTCCTTTCTTCTTTTGCTCTCTTCCCTTGTGACTCCTGACTTTCTTTAGTGTTATGCCTGAATTCCTTTCTAATTTTTTTGGTATCTATTACAGGTTTTTGTTTATGGTTACCATGAAGTTCCCATAGAACATTCGAAATATATACAGTGTATATTAAGTTGATGATCACTTAAATTCAAACCCGTTTTTTTTTTTTTTTTTTTAAAGAGAGAGAGAGCACAAACGAGTGTTGGGGAGGGAGGCCAGAGGGAAAGAGAGAATCCTAAGTAGGATCCACGCCCTGTGTGGAACCCGATGCAGGGGGCTTGATCTCACAATCCTGAGATCATGACCTAAGCCGAAATCAAGAGTCAGATGCTTAACTGCCTGAGACACCTAGGCATCCCAAATTCAAATACATTCTAAAGCACTACATTTTTATTCCTTCCCCTCCACACTTAGTGCATGTCTTATATCTTTTTATTTTGTAAATCTTTTTTTTAAAGATATAATTGGTTTTACTACTTTCATGTTTCAACCTTTAAGTGACTAAGCTACTACCTTTACTATATGTTTGCTTTTATTGGTGAAATTTTTTCCTTTCATAATTTTCTTCTAGTTATGGCCTTTTCTTTCCAGCCTGGAGAGGCCCTTCAACATTTCTTATAAGGCTGATTTAGGGGTTGTGACTTCTCTCTCCTTCAATTCTGAAAATAATCTTGCTGGGTAGAACATCCTTGCATGTAGGTTTTTGTCCTTTCAGCCCTTTGCAGGCCAGAGGGGGAGTGGGATTATATATATAATTTCAAAGTTTCTACTGAAAAATCGGCTGATAGCCTTTATGAGATTTCCCTCGTATGTAGCTAGTTGCATTTCTCTTGCTGCTTTTTATCTTTAATCTTTGACATTTTAATTATTATGGGTTTTGTTGTTCCTCCTTAGGTTCATCTTGCTTGGGGTTCTCCTGGAAGTCTGTCTCCTTCTCCAGGTTAGGGAAGTTTTCAGTTATTTCAGTTATTATTTCTTCAAATAAGCTTTCCGTCCTTTTCTCTCTTCTCCTTCTGGGATCCTTATATCACGAATGTTACCACACTCTGATGTTGTCCCAGAGACTCTTTAACCTTATTTCAATTAAAATTTTTTTTCTTTTTGTTATTCAGCTTGGGTGCTTACCTGTCTTTCCAGATCACTGATCTGTTCTATATCATCTGTTGATTCCCTCTAGGGTATTTTAAAATTTCAGTTACTATAAAACCCAGTTAGAGATAAAGAATATATTTTCTATTTCTTTAAGTTCTCACTGCATTCATTTAATTTTCTCTCATCTGGTGAGCATCTTTAGGACCATTACTCTGAACTCTTTCTCAGGTTGATTGCTTATCTCCATTTTGTTCAGTTCTTAAGTTTTATCTTATTCTTTCATTTGGAGCATATTCCTGTCTCATTTTGTTTCACTTCTGGTGTTTGTCTCTATGAATCAGACAAAACAGCTACCTCTCCCTGTCTTAAAGGAGTGATCTTGTGTAGAAATGTCCCCAGTGTAGACTGCATGTACCTAGTGGCTTTGGGTGGAGCTAGCTCTGGTGGCATGGCTGAAGCAGGCATTGGCTGGAGTGATCTTGGGGCGCCTATGCCATGACTACTTTGGTGAGACAGCTGAGGGGGTCCTGGTGTGGGCCAGACAGTGCCCACCTGCAGCTGGTGTGGGCTAGGGTCCCTGGGTTTGCTGAGGCGGCAGGATGGCTAGAACACCTGGACCCTGGGCCCGTTTTGCACTATCAAGCTGGAGAGGGAATGTCAACAGTGGTACTTGCTAGACGCGTGACCCTGAGAGTTTCAGCAGTTTCCCTACCATTTGCTGGATGCTCTGTGGTTAGTAAATTGGTTCCCTTCAGAGTCTAGCTGCTCTTTAAACTGCTATTTTTTTCCTGGGCCCCAGGTCTGGGGAATCTGTGCAGACTCCTCAGTGCTATCCCTCCCTACTGCAGTTTGTAGTGGCAGGGGTGGGGGTCTCATCATTACTGTGTCTCCATCTCCTGCTGTTCTCTATGTGGTCTCTCCTTTTTTTGTGCAGACGCTGCTCAATCAGCCCTCAGGTCTTCAGGAGGAATTGCTCTTTATGTAGGTGTAGATTTGGTGTCTGTGGGAGGAGGTGAGCTCAGAGTCTTCTTGTGCTGTCATCTTGGAGCCCTCTTCCCATGGTACTCATTTGAGTACGGTTGTTGGAACTTTCTGAAGCAGAAAAGCATTAGAGCACCTTTCTTCTGTACCTCAGGGAGAAAGAATGTGATTAAGAACACATTTTCAGACTCCTCTCTCCTCCGAAGGGAAGCTAATCTAACATTCCTTTATCCGTGTTTGGAAGTGGTAATTCAGACCTTCTTTTTATAGGTACTGAAGGGCAGCCCTGCCGAGCTGGCAGGGCTGGAGGATGAAGATATCATCATCGAAGTGAATGGAGTGAACGTGGTGGATGAACCCTATGAGAAGTTGGTAGACAGAATCCAGAGCAGTGGGGAGAATGTCACACTCTTAGTCTGTGGAAAGAAAGCCTATGATTATTTCCAGGCTAAGAAAATCCCTATTGTTTCCTCCATGGCTGATCCACTGGATGCCCCCACTGATTCCAAAGAAGAGACACTGGCAGAACCAGAGCACGACTCACACACAGCAAAAGAACGAGTGAGTGGTGATAGACTTCTTTTAGTGATCTAACCTATCAGGGTATGATAAAATCCTTAATAAGCACACTTCAGGTCTCTGTTTACCACAGATTTCCTAGAATACTAGGAAATTACAAAGGTAAAAAGCAAGTCAAATTATTTTGGTGGAGAAGTGGTAGGAGGACAAGCTGCTTTTTCATGGCATGGAGTTGACGGTAACTGTCAAATCAAGAAATAAAAGTTTATCAAAATTATAATGGAACCATCAGAAGAACCTGAATCAGACTATGTACAAATTCTGGTTCTGCCACTTAACAGTCTTGGGCAAATGGATTTATTCATTCTCTGCCTCACTTTCCCCACCTGTAAACCAAGGATAATTTGTAGTATTATTATTATTATAAACTAAGACTTTTTACAAATTACTGATTCTTTTATTTAAAATCAATTAACATATAGTATATTATTAGTTTCAGAGGTAGAGTTTAGTGATTCATCAGTTGCATATAACACCCAGTGCTCATTACATTGAGTGCCTTCCCTAATGTGCATCACCCAGTTACCCCATCCCCCTACCCACCTCCCCTCCAGCAACCCGCAGTTTGTTTCCTATTAACTAAGACTATCAAAGTGCTTCAAACAGTGCCTGGTTAATAATGCTAAGCATAAAATGAATGGTGGTGGTTAGAGACATTGTTTTTAAGATAATTGGCAGGTATTTGTGTTTTATTAATAGGGAGGAATAAGCATTACTCTGTATTTGGATTAAAATCCTCGATAAGTCTTTTATATTTTTGTCCAAGTTCACAGAGGAAATGTATGGCAAAGCCAAGACTCTAAAAGTTTTATATCATTCTTCTTTCCATTACATTTAATTCTACTCCATTTACATTAATTTTACAGACTGGTCATATAAATTAAATACTGTTTGTTAATGAAGACACACGTAGTTTGGGGTGCTATAATAAAAGACCATAGACTGGGTGGCTTATAAACAACACACATTTATTTCTCACAGTTCTGAAGGACAGATTTGGTGTCTGGGGAAGGCCCTCTTCCAGGCTGTAGTTGGCCAATTTCCTGCTATGTCCTCACATGGTAGAAGGGGATAGGGAGCTCGGGGTGGGGGTGGGGGGCTCTTTCATAAGGCCTTAATCCCAATCACGAGGGCTCTGCCCTCATGACCTAATCACCTCCCAAAGGTTCCTACCTCCTAATATCATCACCTGACCTTAGGATTAGTATTTCAATATATGAATTTTGGGGAAATACAAACATTCAGACCACAGCACACACAGTAGCCACTGACCTTGCATTCTTGATTGCTTAGCAAAGAAAGCGTCTACTTGTCTTTAAAAAATTTTATATTTCTATAGCAAGTCAATTATAGGCATATGCTAGCTTTATAGAAAAGATCTACAGATATTAAGAAATTTGTTAGTGTCAAACGGCAGGCGAAACAAAGCCAACTGCACAATTCAGGTTACCTGGCTTCTAGTGAGTGACTCTACTCCCTGCCTGCAGTCATGCAGCTGCTGACATTCACACTCTGGCACTTACGGACCTTTTGTTCTCTTTTGCGTAGGCGTACAGTACAGCCTCACATTCTTCTTCCAATTCTGAAGATACAGAGATGTGATGAGAGCAACTAACGGCGTTGGCTGACAGCTGTTTCTGGGTGTTGAGTAGGGATCCTTTCCCGAAGAATGAGCTGCCACCCATTCACTGTCTCTGGTAGAGAGGAACTCCTCTGGCAACCAGTTCATCATGGGGGACTGTCTTCTGTTGTCATTTGCCTTGGGGGTGACTACTGCAATAGATGGCTTATTTATGGCCAACTTAAGGCGGGAACCACATTCTTTTCACGTGATTTCTTTCAAGCTTCAACTTCACTACATTTCTCTATGACGATATCTCTTAATTCTATAGGCTCCTTGAGCATTAAAGATGATTTGTAAATCTGTATATGTGAGAGCTGCTATAAAGTATCTGAGCAGATGAGCCTATTAAAATTATGCTTTTGTAAGAATGTTGTGGTTGCTAAAATAGATGCCATTAAGAATGCCTTTAGAGTATACTTGAATCTTCCCGGTTAGTTGATAAAACCTCAAGAGTGCTTTTGTTTTTGGTAAACTTGCTTTTATGCTGTAACCTTCATTTTGCCTCTAGAAACCCAAAACAATAAAATTCAGAATAAGATCTTAGAGACTTACTGGTGATAAAACTCAGGATTTCCTTAAATTGCATTTCTCAATGTTCTGTAACCTTTCCAGCATTTTCCTTTCACAGATGGAGAAAGTAGGGGCTAGCATAGGAAAATGACTTATTCTAGTTAACAGTTATTCATTGTTTTACCACACAGCATGAGGGGCAGATGGAAAGAAAAAAATGAGACATCATCACCAAATTGAATGTACAGTAATTCACTCTCAAATACTACTAACTTAATTAAAAGGAAATCAATAAAAATGATATACCTGAACACTCTTGGCAGAATCTATTTCAGTAGCACACCGTCCTGTCCCCAGACAAGAAGAGAGAACCTGTTGGTTATTTTAATGGGGCAGGGGTTGGCAGGAGGATGCCAACTTGTGTTAGATTGCACAAGCACACTACACCAAGCTGTCCTTGAGAAAATGAAGCTAAGGCCAAAGGGTTGCAATCTGATTTTAATGACAGTCAATCTTAAGGGAAAGCCATAACCTCCTCCGTGTGAGCCTTGAGCAGAAATTCCAGGTGTTCGGCCCAGCTCCCTGAGACTTCCCCTTACCTGCAGAGTTCCAGTGTATTCCCCCCACCTAGTTTCTTGGCTCTTTTCCACCCCCTTTCCCACCAGCCTCAAACCCACATGGGATGCTCTCAGCTGAGTGCTAGCTTAAGTTTACTTCACGTTCCCATGTTCTAGCTAATGCTACTCATGATCACAGTATCCAGAGGAGGGAGGCATACGCTGAAGGCAGAACATGCTACCTCAGCATTTTGATTGTTTAAAAAACACGAGGCCCTGGTCCCCTCCATTTTATCTCTTATATCCAAATTCTGACACCACTGGCCTGCAGCAGTCTGTAACAGGTGTGAGTTCAAGGTGCCATATGCTTCTCTGGTGCCTGTTTGTGAGCCAAATAGAGGAACAGGATGCTGGAGAGAGCACTGACCAGGAAGATCACGTCAAACCAACGGTGATAGAAGTTGAACTGTAGCTCTCCAAGCACTTCGGTGATTATGGTGCGGTACTCTAGAGGCATGCTCATTCGAATCAGTAGCACAGAGGAGACAAAGTACATGCCCTGTAAGTTAATCCAGAAGTCACTTGGAATGTGGTGAAGGACCAAAAGGAATTGTTACAATATTTAGAAGTATAAACACTTCTGGCAGTTTACAGTTGTAAGCATAAAACTAGGTCATTACACTTACCATTATCTGTGCTAATAGCAGGACAATGACATTGGAGGACTTACTGCTGGAGATGGCATAAAAGAACTGTCAAGAAAGGGAGAAGAACTTATGCAGTGCTGCTGGATTCTTGTGTCAAGAACATTAAGGAGCCTACTTAACATTTAGTGAAAAGTGTTTCTTCCCCATAGCAATCCAGCAGAGAACAACAGATATGATTAACGCTGTGAAGAAGAGAAACAGACTGATAGCAAAGGATCCAGCTATGGTGTCCCCAGAGGGAGAGCTGGTGGTTTTAAGAACTAATTACATTAGGACATGAAAGGATTCCAATCGCTAGCAAATTTTTCAGAAACTATGTGATACACAGGACTTTCATATATCACTGTAAAACGTTAGACCAGATTACTCCAGGCCAAGCCCTTGTAATTACTATTAGCCTCCTAAGCTCTTGCCAAAATTGTGCTAGATGCCTGGAGTGCCCTTCTCTTCTTCTCTCCTCCTAACCTCTTCACTCCTTTCATTCAAACAACTCTTGGATCTTGGGCTCCCCACACCTCTTCTCCAAGAGAAAACCTACCTTCTGCCTCCATAAAGCCTTCCGACGTTGATCAGAAAATAGTAAAACATTCTACTTGTCCTCCTTACATGTCCTCCTTATACGTAACTCTCAAAGTTACTCTAACCTCAAATACCTATCTTGTTCATCCATTCCAAGTATCTCTGGAGCTCCTACCATGTGCCAGTTTCTACTCCTAGATGCTGGTGCCACATCAGTGAACAAAACAGACCGTGAACTCATTCTATGACCTTTATTAAATGTACTCATCTGATTGGCGTATGATGTAAACCCATCATCATCAGTTTATTGAGCAGTTTCAATTTAAAAAAATTTTATGGTAGGTCTTTTAAATATTTGTGACTCTTTAAGTTCTCCGAAGGCAGAAATCTTAATTAGGTAAAATTATCTCATGGTGCCACATGAAATGCCGCAAATCATAATTTAAACTCAGTGCTACAACATACCTTTGTAAGAGTGATCAGTAATCCTCTGATAGATGTGACGATGATTATTCCAACCAGAATGAAGGAAATGTGCTGAGACCAGAACTTTACCTGCCACCATAAAAGGAAGGAAAAGTATGTGTGAAATCTCTGTTGAGAGACATGTGAAGGCTATTCTTCTGATGCATTCTGATCTCTTATGTGACTGAGAGGGAACTTCATTAGGCCCTACCTGATATAAAAATTTTTAGGGAGGGAGGAAAATGAGTAAGGGGCAACTACACCTAGGAAGACTGCAGTGGATAGCTTAATAAGCAGACTTAATAAAAACTTAGGACGGAAGCAAGCAAGTGCAGTGGTGATAAAAATAACATTAGTCAGAGAAACACAGATGGAACCAATGACGCAGCTTTGGTGTGTTAAGTGAAAAGCACAAATTGAAATTATTAAATAGCAGCTAAATTATTTTTAACATCTGTGAATGATAGTCCCCTGATCACCCAAAACTTAAAATTTTCTTTTTATAATAAAAGAATATGTAAATATTCTCAGCTATGGTCTAGGAAATAGTTGCCCTTCACTTGAATTACATGATGTTACTTTTTTCTCCTCTTGGTTTGCTTCATAGTGGAAGGCAGCTTTGGGACCCTGTGCTTGATTCAGGTCTGAAAAGTATCTGTGGGGGAACTGCTATTACTAACATCTAAAAGATGTTATTCAGAATTCTGAAACGTGGAGTATACAGATGGATTATAAATGAAATACAGAGACACCACAGCAACTAGCCTCAGAAAGCACTGATAAGGAAGAACACTTCTAATAATTGAGCCTAGTAAAAATTTTAAAAGAGGAAAAGAGAACACATATCAGCAATAGTGAAGCCTATTTTGTGGTATAATTTATAAACTACTTGGAGGAAAGATACCATGCTCCCTCACATGAAAAAGTTTACACTATTGATCTATCCTCAAAAACCGTGTGCTTTGAGTTGTTCATCAAGGACTGGAGCTCAATTTGCTCTGGTTTGCTTTCATTTTATCTAGCTACTAGGAGCATGTCCAGCTGAGGCAGATGGCTGCGGGGAGCATGCAGTCTGTCACTAGAATCACAGCACAGCTAAATAGCCCTCAGAGGGACTAAAAACGTGAGTCTTACTATCATGTCAAAGTGCTAATCAGCTGGAATCAATGGCCATTTATATATATACACACACATATATATATATACATACATTTGGAAAATATATTCTTCTATAAATAAAGACATTAAACTTAAATTGGGACAAGAGTGTGTTTAATGATAGTGGTATTATAAAACAGGTAGAAAGAAGATTAAAACTGCACAGGTTACAGTTACCATCTTTAGCTCAAAGTCCACATTAATTGGTAGCTTTTTACGGCAGACATAATTTCACTTCCAATATGGAACACTAATTAGTAGTTACTTTTCTACTAGAGGAACCAAAGGTGAGTTTTGGATTTGACAATCTCATGTATCACAGAGAGAAGTATCCAGTATTTGGTGGGGAGAAGCTGGGGAGGGGGAGCTGGCTACAGAAAAGCAGCAGAGGAACTACAGAAATAATCAGCATCTAAGACAGTAATAAGTACCAGCCATCACTTCTGGTTTTATGTCCTTTACAAATCTGCCATATGAGTATGTCAAAACAGAGGAGAGTGGGAAGAACAAAGGCAGAATTAAGTATGAAATTAAAATCTTAACAATTGTAATTTATAGCAGGTAAAATAGAAATGTATGAAACCAGGATCTTGATACAACTCTTACATCAAATTGGATCCCCAGATAATTCACAGTGATCTCGATGCCTCTTGTGACAGGATCAGTTTTCCCAACTCGGTCAAAAACGATATTGATGGTTGCCTGCAAAGACATGGAACTTTATATTACAGCATCTCAATAATCACTATTTCAAAAAGTGACTCAAAATAATGAATCAGTGTAACATATCTTACAGGTGGATGTTCCTAAAAATGCAATTCTACTCTCAATCTAAATCATATATAAGACATTTATTTTGGCTATTCACATACAGGCAAACAAAAGTCCTTATCTACCCTATCTTTCTTTTCTGTAAAGAATAGAAGGAAAAAAGGCTATGGCATATACACCTTAATTTCACAGAAGTTAGAAAGGTAACATTCTGGTGGATAAAGTTTGAGTAAGAGAATCAAGAATTCCAGGGTTATTCACTCTATTTTCTGAATGCTTGAAGAGCAATCACTAAAATAATGAAAAGAGAGTTACAGCTAACAAGTCAACAAGAGATCAGACAGAATTATGAAAAATACCCAATTAATCCAAAAGAAGGCAGAAAAAAAGGAAAAATGGAAAAAAAGAACAGATGGGACAAATAAAAAAACACGTAACAACACTGCTGTTTAAAATCCAACATATTAATAATTACATTAAATGTAAACAGTCTGACAACAGTCTGGCAAACTCTGACACTGTGGTGATAGAGCCACAGATGATATGCAGATGAATGCGCTTGGCTGTTTCAAATAAAACTTTATTTACAATGGCAGGTGGTGGCTGGATTTGGCCTACGAGCTGCAGATGGCTGAATCCTGGTCTAAACATGCCAATTAAATGGCAGAGACTATAAGACTGGATAAAAAAGCAAGACCCAACTATACGTTGCTTACAAAAAACCCCACTTTAAATATAAAGATACAAATCGGTTAAAAGTAAAAGAATGGAAAAAGATACATCATGCTAACACTAATCAAGAGAAAACTGGAAGGTCTATATTAATATCAAAGTAGATTTCATAGTAAAAAATACTGCCGGGGATTAAAGGGTCATTTCAGAATGATAAAAGGATCATTTCAACAAGGGGTACACAATGAGTCTGAAGATGTATGGACCAAATAATAGAGCTTTAAAACACATGAAGCAGGGGTGTCAGGAAGATGGTAGAGTAGGAGGATCCTGAGCTCATCCTGTCTCACAAACACACCAAGATAATAGCTACCTCTGTGTAACTCTGAAAACAACATGAAAACTGGCAGAACAGACCTTCCACAGTTAACTGTTGAGAAGAGGCCACATTGAAAAGGGTAGGAGGGGCTGAAACACACCTGGGAACCAAACCTCCTGTGAGACTAACCACAAACAGGAGGGACACCACAAGCACAGAGAAGCAGAGAGGATCAGACCCCACACAAGGCACCCCAGGCAGTGGGACGATGAGTTCCCAGTAACATCTGGCTTTGAAAACCAGTGGGGATAAACTTTGGGAGCTTTTAAAATCAGCAGGGCTTAAGTCCAGGTACTTTAAAAATTAGCAGGCCTTAACTCTGGGAGAGCCAGAGGGCAATCAGAAACTAAGTCCCAGCCCTTAAAGAGCTAGAATAAATAACTTGGCCTGAGAGCACAGAAACAGCAGTTTGAAAAGTGCTTGGGTATATGTGAAGGATATTCATTACCAATCTCAACATGTGCTGGAGGGTCAGGGAGACTTCTCTTCAGGAGACTTCCAGAACAAAAGTGCTGGTGGGCACCATTTCTCTTCTCCTCCCCCACCTAGATAGCCAGACACTTGTGGGAACTACCACTAATACTATCTACCTATCTTGCTAGCGCCCTGCCCCGACTTTCACCTGGGGACCTGCCTGCCTCAGCAGGTGGTCCTTCAAAACAACTCCTGCCCCACCACACCCTGCAAGCAGCCTGAGCAGGGACCCACGCCACTCCAAAAGCAGCCCTGGAGAGAGAGAGATAACCCTACACATCAGTGTGCCCACAGTTCCAACAGCTGAGCCTCTTAGTTGGCTGTGCAGGGACTAAACCTTGCTCAGTGTGCCCACAGCAGGCACAGCAGGTCATTGCAGCCAACTAAGGCAAATGCAACTCAGCCACAACAGTAGGGTGCATGTTGCCCACATAGGAGACACCCTTGGAGCACCTGGTTCTGGTGCCTGGAGGCACTGCACTACAGGGCACCACAAAACCTTTTCTTTCAAGACCACCACAGAACCCCATTACTTTCAAGACCAGGAGTCATAGCTGATCCCCTAATACAGAGAAACAAACGGAGAGCTAGACAGAATAAGGAGATAGAGGAATATGTCCCAAATGAAAGAAGAGGACAAAATCACAGCAGCAGATCTAATGAAATGGAGATAAGCAATATGCCTGGATAAAGAATTCAAAGTAATGGTCATAAAGATACTCACTGGACTTGAGAAAACAATGGATGAATTCAATGAGAACTTCAACAACGACATAAAAAGGAACCAGTCAGAGATGAAGAATTCAATAACTGAAATTAAAAAAAAACAAAACAAAAACAAACACACTAGAGGCAATCAACAGTAGACTGGAGGATGCAGAATGGATCAGCAATTTGGAAGACAAGGTAATGGAAAGCAACCAAGCTGAACAGCAAAAAGAAAAAAAGAATAATAATAAAGGAGAACACGTTAAGGGAACTCAGCAACACCATCAAGTGTAATAACATTCACATTATAGGCATCCCAGAAGGAGAAGAGAGAGAGAAGGGGGCAGAAAATTTATTTGAAGAAAGAATAACTGAAAACTTCTCTAATCTGGGGAAGGAAACAGGTATCCAAATCCAGGAAGCACAGAGAGCCCCGAACAAGATTAACCCAAAGAGGTCCACACCAAGATATGTAAAATTAAAATGGCAGAAAGTAATGATAAAGAATTTTAAAGATTTATTTTGAGAGAGAGAGAGCGCGTGTGCACATAAGCAGGGGGAGGGGCAGAGGGAGAGGGAAAGAAAACTCAAGCAGACTCCCCAATGAGTTGGGGAGCTCAATGTGGGGCTCGATCTCATGACCCTGAGATCAAGACCTGAGCTGAAATCAAGAGTTGGATGCTTAGCTGACTAAGCCACCCAGGTGCCTCTAGGGAGAGAATTTTAAAAGCAGCAAGAGAAAAAAAAGTTACTACGAGGGAAATCCTATAAAGTTTTTAGCTGATTTTTCACCAGAAACTTCATAGGCCAGAAGAGAGTGGCATTATATATTCAAAGTACTGAAAGGAAGACCTGCAACTAAGCATACTCTACAAGGCAAAGTTATCATTCAGAATAAAAAAAGAGACAAAAAGTTTCCCAGACAGAAGTTCAAGGATTTAATCACCACTAAACCAGCCCTACAAGAAATGTAAAAGGAAATTATTTGAGTGGAAAGAAAAGGCCATAATCATAAGAAAGTTATGAAAGGAAAAATTTTCACAGGTAAAAGTAAACACATAATACATGTAGTAGAATAATCATGTATAAAGCCAGTCTGGAGCAAAAGTAGCAAAATCATTTATATCTACAAAAACCAGCCAAGAAATACACAAAATAAAAAGATGTAAAATACAGTATCATATACATAAAATGTGGAGGGGGAGTAAAAATGTCGTACTTTTAAAATGTTTTTGAATTTAAGCTTGAACTTAAGTTCAGCCATCAACTTAATACAGACTGCTATACACCTAAGATAAAATATATAAGCCTAATGGCAACCACAAATCAGAAACCTATAATAGGTACACAAAAAATAAAGAGAAAGGAATCCAAACATAACACTACCACATAGGAAGAGAAAAACAGAAGGAAAAGAGAAGAACCACAAAAACAACCAGAAAATAATGAACAAAATGGCAGTAAGTATATAACTATCAATAATTACTTTAAATGTAAATTGTCTAAATGCACCAATTGAAAGACAAAAGGTGATTGAATGGATAAAAAAAACAAGACCCATCTATATGCTCCTTTAAGAGACTAACTGCAGACCTAAAGGCACATACAGACTGAAAATGAAGGGCTATAAAGAAATACACCATGCAAAAGGCAGGAGAAAAGCTGGGATAGCAATACTTAATATCAGATAAAGTAGACTTTAAAACAAAGACTGTAGGCTAGAGACAAAGGAGGGCACTACATAATGATAAAGGGATCAATCTAACAAGAGGATGTAACAACTATAAATATCTATGCCCTCAACATAGGAGTACCTAAATACATAAAGCAATAATTAACAGACATAAAGGGAGAAGTTGACAGTAATACAATAATAACAGGTGACTGTAACATTCCACTTATATCAGTGTAGATCATTCAGACAGAAATCAATAACGAAACAGTGGATTTGAACAACACATTAGACCAGATGGACTTAACAGATATATACTGAACATTCCATCCAAAAACCTCTGAATACATTCTTTTCAAGTACATGTTGAACATTCCCCAGAATAGATTACAACTTAGGCCACAAAACAAGTCTCAATAAATTTAAGAAGACTGAAATCATATCATGCATCTTTTCCAACCACAATGGTATGACACTAAAAATCAATCACAAGAAAAAAATCTAAAAAGAATACCAATGCATGGAAGCTAAATAACATGCTACTAAACAATGAATGGGTCAACCAAGAAATCAAGGAGGAAATAAAAAAATACATGGAGACAAATGAAAATGAAAATACAATGGTTCAGTCTTTGAGATGCAGTAAAAGCCATTCTAAAAGGGAATTTCATAGCAACAAAGGCCTAACTCAAGAAACAAGAAAAATCTCAAGTAAACAACCTAACCGTACACCTAAAAGAGCTAAGAAAGACCAAAGCCCAAAGCTAGCAAAGGGAAGGAAGTAATAAAGATTAGAGCCGAAATAAATGAAAGAGAGAGAGAAAAAATGAAAAGATCAATGAAACCAGAAACTGTTTCTTTGAAAAGATTAACAAAATTGGTATATCTGTGGCCAGACTCATCAAGAAAAAGACTCAAATACAATCAGAAATAAAGGAGGAGAAATAACAATTGACAGCACAGAAATACAAAGGATTATAAGAGACTATTATGAAAAATTGTATGCCAACAAATTGGACAACCTAG